CTGCCCCCCCACGAAGTGGGGGTATTGGGTCCCTCGCGTACCAAATGAAAACCTGGGCACTGGTGAGAACACTGAGCGTTCGGGTAAAATGATTTGTTTTGTTGTTGTTGTTGTTGTTGTTGTTTGTTGAACAGTATTATTCTAAAGAATAATTTATTGTTGGGCCCCCTGGTGCGCGCCCCCCCCGCCGCGCCTATAGGCCGCAAGCCACTTTTTCATCATTTTCGTTAGGAAACCTCATGTAATTCGATTCATCAAAGAATGCTCGGTTTTTGTTTTTGTTCCCCCCGACTTTCCCTTGCAAATAACACTATAAAATGAATTTTCTTGTTCACATATACTCAAAAACATTTTTCACCCCCTATCTCAAATTTCAAGAATCCCTTGCAACAAATAAGGTAAAGTGGACATTCGCGCGCGCAAGACGAAATCCTTCCAAAAGCTTAGTGTTCGGAACGATTTCAACATAAAAACATCAAAAAACCAATGGTTTTTCAACAAAAAAAATGTCAAAATCTCATCCCGCGCGCTCTTGCGGATTCGTAGGAAACCCAACACTTGTTCAACATTTCTGTCAAACGGGCTTTTGCGAGCAACTTTTTCGAACTTCTGCGACAACGGTTGCGCACCTGCCAGGGCCATCATCCCTGTCAAATAATACCATGCGGGACACATTCGTTTTTTGCGCCGCTATTGTATGGCACAATTGCACCATGCTGGGCACATGCGCGCCCCGAATAAGTGACCAAGTTCTGTGGGTGTGTACCCCACGCCAGTGTAGTAGCCACGGTCGTCCGCACGCCACGAAGTGAAGTGTCCCAACGTCATAGGGCGGGGAGCTGGGTTTGGGTGGTCGCGAAGAGTCGTTTGGATATTTGGTAGAGCTTGTAATGCCCCCCCACGAAGTGGGGGTATTGCCTGGTGTCGTATGAAAACCCTGCACTGGGGAGAACACCACGCGTTCGGGTAAAATGATTGTTGTTGTTGTTGTTGTTGTTGTTGTTGTTGTTGTTGTTGTTGTTGTTGTTGTTGTTGTTGTTGTTGTTGTTGTTGTTGTTGTTGAACTCTCATTCTTGAAGAATAATTATTGTTGATCCCCCCCCACCGGTGCACATTGATTTTTTTCGATTGAAGTGCCACCCCCCGGGCTCGCACCTTGTTTTTTCTCAAGGAAAGTCTTCCTGCTCAAACTGTGCCCCTGCTCCCCGGGCTACAACAACAACGGTTCCCGCCTGAGACTTCCTCGATTTTTACTCAAGACCCCCGCTCCCGCCTGAGACTTCCGCGCAATTTACTCAGGAAAGGCGCTCCCGTTTGAGACTTCCTCGCAATGTAATCAAGACCCCCGCTCCCGCCTGAGACTTCCGTGCAATTTACGTGGGAACGGCGCTCCCGCCCAAGACTTTTTCGAATTTTACTCAGGACCCCCGCTCCTGCCGGACATTTCCGCGCAATTGACTCAGGAACGGCGCTCCCGCCTGAGATTTCCTCGCAATTTGGTGAGGACCCCCGCTCCCGCCTGAGACTTCCGTGCAATTTGCTCAGGAACGGCGCTCCCGCTTGAGACTTCCACGCAACTTAGTCAGGGTCCCCGCTTCCGCCTGAGATTTCCTCACAATGTACTCAGGACTGCGCTCTCGCGTGCGACGTCCTCACAAATTATTCTGGAATTGCGTTTCGGCGCTCAGGAACCACGCACGCGCCAAGGACGCCTTCACAACGTGGTATCTTTCCTCTTCCTTCGTCCTTCCCCCTCCCCTTCCTCCCACTCTCCCTCGTTCTTCCCCTCCTCCTCTTGCAGGGCCCGCGCCAATTCCAATGGCGGGCCGAGAGATGTACGCCCCCGAAGGATTGTCCGCCCGTTCCGGTTTGCCCGTACGTCTAAGCCCGCCGGCCCCAGCAAAGAGAAATAATCCCCCCGAAAAGGGTGTGATCGAAGACGAAGAGGGCGGGCATCGAGGGTGTAGGGTATACGTGTTGAATGACTCGCGGGCAAGTAAGAGCGTACAGCCTTAAAATGGTTGTTGTTGTTGTTGGTGGTGGTGGTGGTGGTGGTGGTGGTAGTGGGTTGAGGCGGTGGTGGTGGTGGTAGTGGTGGTAGTGGTAGTGGTGGTAATCGTCACTGCGTCCCCGCCGTCGCTGGCGCCAACGCCTACGCTGCTGGCCGCCGCCAGCGCCAGCGCCTGCGCGAGGGGGTGGGGTCGGGGTTGAAACCCCGCCCCCCCCTCGGCGCCCGGGGGGGGAGGGTTTGAACCCCCCCTCCCTTGAGCTGACTGTGGTCATCGTCGCTGCGTCCCCGTCGTGGGCGCTGCTGGCGGCCGCCAGCGCCGGCGCCGAAGAGGGGGGGGGGGGTTGACCCCCCCCCCCTGGGAGGGGGTGGGGAGGGGGGGGTGTTCGGGAGGGGGGGTGTTTGGGGGGAGGGGAGTCCCCCTGGTTTTGATCGACGGCGCCGAGTGTTGGGGGGGGGCCCACCCCCCGGTTTGAAACGCGCCGCCGAATGTTCCCAAGGCAAGCGCCCGTGTGAAACGCTCTCTCTCACATGGCCATGTCGTCTATTTGTCTTCTGGTCCAGAGAAGTTGTTCGTCCGTCCTGTTGCTCGTCCTTGTCAAAGTATACCTCGCTGTCCGACGCAATGGTTCTGGTTGGCGTTGTTGTGCTTTCCAGTTGAAGTTGGCTTTTGGAAGCACGACGTGCGCGACGATATTCAGATAGGTTCATTGTGCTGAAGGTGATCCGGCGCAAAGCGCTCCGTTGATATTTCATCTCATTATTTGTCATCGTGCTGCTTGTATTGCTGTGCGATGCCGCAATGCCGTGTCCTGCAATGGCATGCCTCTGCAAACCAATGCTCTCAAGCAAGAGCAGCCGCGCACGTGCAATGCAATGCGCTGCAAGTTATTTCAGTGAGGTTTCCCTCGCACGGTGATTATTGTGGAGTTTTGCACATGCTCTCAGAGGCCCAAGAGTTCTGAAGACTACGCAGCAGGGCCATGGCATAGCCTGTGGCATCCCCAAAACGCTGCCAAGGGTACCTCAAGACGGCCCAAGGCTGCCCGAGCGGGCCCTCAACAGGTACCAGAGGGAGGAGAAACCAGGGAGGACACAGGCTTGAAGCTGAAGCAAGGAAGGACATAGGAGGACTGGGGCGGCCCCAGGACGGCCCAAGTTCGGCGCAAGAGGAGATAGGCACGCACCTGAATGTGCCGCGTTGGTATTTTGTCTTGCGCTAGAGCCACAGCGCGCGAAGTGCGCGTGTGGTTCCAGTTTAACGATGGCATCTTCTCATCAACTCGATGCGTCATGAAGCACTCGTGCAAGGTGCCTGGGGGTCCTGGAGGCATATACGCGCCTTTCTCTGTGTGGATGCTCGTTGGCAAGACCAGGTGCGGCTGGGCTGGGTCTGTGCCCGAGGCTGGCAGGTCGAGCAAAGCAAAGATTCCCGAGGGACCAGGCCCGAGGCTCCTTGCGCTGCTGGGATGGGACAGCCAGCACGGGGGCTCTTGTCTTCCGCTTCGCCACCACAACTCAGGAGGAGAAACATCACACAGACACAGTTCATCGTCGACTTCCCAGGAACATCTGGGAAGCTATGGGAAGTGTGGGGGGTGGAGCGAAAACCCAGAATAGGCGGGAAACTAGAGGGGGCATCCTCCCAGGGCCCCTCAGACAGTGCCGATCCGAAGCCCCAGCAGTTCCTGACCCTCCTCTGACAGTCACCACCCACCAAACCACCCCAACCCAACCCGAAGGCTCAGATTTTCCCTCGATTTCCAGTGGGGGGGGGGTCGGGAAACATCGAAAAAACACATGTGGAATCCTTACCCCCCCCAACCCGAAATTCGGGTCTTCGGGTTGGGTTGGGGTGGTCTGGTAGGTTGTCAAACAGGCGCTTGCCCCGGGACTTCGCGCCTGTCTCCGCAGCTTTTTTTTTTGCTGGCTTCTGGAGGCCCGCGGTCGGGCGGCCGGCTCGTGGTCGCTCCGAGCACGCCGCCGCCGCGTCGGAGGCCCCCTCGTCGCGGCCGCGGGGACCTCCTCCTGCGGCATGGCGGCGCTGGGCTGCAGTCGTGGCGACGACGCGGACGAGGCTGTCCGCTGCGCGCCCGACTGGATCTTCGGCTACGGGTCCATCATGAACAACCTCAGCCGCACGTCCACCGCGGGCAAGGGCGACGCTGCTTCGGCACCCGGGCCCCGAGATCAGCTCCGCTCAGGGAAGTCGTTTGCCAGGGGGTCCGTCCCAGGACAGCCGTAACATCAAACAATGGTCGGCGTGAGCAACATGTCTGGTACTTCTGGCCTGGCCCGCGTATAGGCCCCAAACAGGGCCAGGACTGGGGACAGTCGGGGACGTGGGCGGCGCAGGACACTGGCGGCCAGCACCAGGGCCAGGGACACTCGGGGCAACCGGTGGACAGGGGGGGACGAAGGACATCGGCGGCGGCGCAGGGCAGTATCGAGGCTGGGGGCAGCAGGAGATGGATGGAGAAGGGAATCGGTGCTGGCGCAGGGTAACTTTTCTCCACGCGTGTGGCACCCCTGTCAGTCCAAGGCATGCTCCATGCTTGGGAGAGGAGTTCGAAGCATTTCATAAAGTTATGCTATCCGAGTGCTCCGCATGAGGGTTACACATGAGTCGCTGAATCATGGGGGGCACACCAGCAGCAAACGACCCAGCAAAACACCCTAACAGCAGCATAGGACCTGTGGGACCCGTGTGGCCTGTAGGACCTGCGGGACCTATGGGACCTATGGGACCTGTGCGACCTGTGGGACCCGTGGGACATGTGAGGCCGTGGGGCCCATGGGGCCTGTGGCACCTGTAGGCCACTTGTGAGATCCGTGCGACCTCTGGGGCCTGTGGGTCCTGTACGGCCAGTACGACCCTTCAAGCGAAACGCTATGGCGTCTCGCAGTCCTCTGGAAGCCTTCTGAGCGCTTTTGGGTGGCCTCTGGAGGCATCCTCGGGCCACTCTGCTGCGAACCACATACCCTGTCAAAGCTTCATCCTCAGGGGGCAACGGCGCCTGCCGTGCTGGCCAGGCTGTCGCCAGACTTCGGGCAGGTGCGGTGCTGGAACTTCCGCTCCAAGACCGGCTTCACCGCCGTCGGCTTGCGCCCGCGCGCGCGGGAGGAGCCCGAGGTGCAGACCTGCGGCGTCCTCTTCCCCGCGTCCAGCTCGATGGACGCCTTCGACGCCAGGATATTTATTTTGTTTTATCCAGTGGGCCCGGAATGTTAGCCCCGAAGTTCGAGAGGGAGGACGCCCCCCCTCCTTGTCCTCTCTCAGGGGAGGGAGGGTGGACAGCGCTCCCAGCATCGAAACATCTATGATTACTCCCCCGCGTTGGCGGCGGCTGCGGAGCTGCGGCGTTTCAGTTTTCTGGTGCCTGCTATGATTCGCGTGGTGCCGAGAGACGTGGCTCCAGCGATCTTGGGCCGCTCAAGCATTTGCTATCCTTGGCCCCGACGGTTTTCTGCAATTCTTCGACTCGCATCGACGTCCGTGGCGCGGGGGCGTCCTCTCCCTCCCCCCCCTCTCCCCCTAGCGGTACCGAGCGTACGCGGGGGGGCCGCCGGCTCCTTCTCGGGCAGGCATTGGATGGCGCGATGTCTGCAGGCATGCCTTGGTGCTGACAGGAGGAGGAGGAGGAGGAGGAGGAGGAGGAGGAGGAGGAGGAGGGGAGGAGGAGGAGGAGGAGGAGGAGGAGGGAGGAGGAGGAGAGGACTGAGGTAGGAGGAGGAGGAAGGAGGAGAGAGAGGAGAGGAGGAGGAGGAGGAGGAGGAGGAGGAGGAGGAGGAGAGGGAGGAGGAGGACCACCAAGCGCCCTGAGATCATGGCGTCGCAGCTTTTGGGCCACGGGCGTTTTCGCCCGGGCGCGGCCCCCGGGGCCCTCACAGATCGATCTGGCTATTTGGCTCGAAAAGTGACTCACAAGCCTCCTCCTCCTCCTCCTCCTCCTCCTCCTCCTTCTCCTCAGATTGGGTCTGGAGCTCCAGTCTTGAGTTCTTACGTTGTCGCACCTGTCCCGCAGCTTCGGATCCTAGGGCATGCTGTGGCGCTCGCAGGCCAGACCCCTCCCCCCTCCTCCCCGTCACGGGCGTTGCGTGGGGCGGGTGACAACAGAATCTACAGGGAGGTGGGGTACAGGCGCGAGCAGCTCGACCCCGCTCACATCTGATGGGCCGACTTTCCACCACCACCACCATAGGTAGGAGGAGGAGAAGAAGGAGGAGGAGGAGGAGGAGGAGGAGGAGGAGGGGGGGGAGGAGGAGGACCTCATCCTCCCTTCTGCCCCGCCCTACCGTCCTACATATGGCGGTGGTGGTGGAACATCTGCCCATCAGCGTCGAGCTCGCGGCGCCGCCGGTGCCCGAGCCCGTGGGGTGTGGCGGCGCCGCCCTCACCGCCGCGCTGCACCGCGCCGTGCTCGGCCCGGCGCCTCCGCGCCTCTGGGTCTACGTGCCCGACAAGTGCCAGGCCCCGTCGCAGGACTTCCCGATATGCCGGTGCGTGATGCACGACCCCGAGGCAGTTCGTAATCCCCAAACGTGGTGGTGACAACACCTGGCGGTGAGTCTCGGGCGATTTGGTGTCACCACCCGGTTTGGGGACTCGTGCGGTTTTCCGAGGATGTCCCGAACCTTGGTGGGTCCAGGAGTCACAAAACCCGGTAGTGACCCCGCGTCCCCAAACCCAGCGGTGACCTTTTTGGGGATTCCAGGTCGCCACCTGGTATCTCACCACCCGGTTTGGGGGTTCCCAAGCAGGCCTCCCCAGGTATGATCGCGTCGTAAAACATGCAGGACCAATGTTTTTCGTTGTTTTCGGCCTCTCGAGGCCCTCGACGGGCTCCAGGACCGTCAAAAAACGACTCGGGGTGAGGCGCGGGTCCCGGGGAAAAGGTCGAGACTTCTGGGGACCGCGTATTGAAAAATCAGGACGTCGCATGTCTGGGTCTGGGTCGATCTTGGAGGTCGACGCGGCGATCGCGGCGACCTCAACTTGAGAAGAAAAGCCTGGAGGCCTCGCGCGGCGCGTAATAGTTGTATGATCTAGTCCACACGCCAGTGCAGACGTGGCTCACGATTGACAACGTAGCGGCAGGGAGTTGTGTCTAACGTGTGCAGTCATTCCCAACCATCCTGTGTTGAGTTGGGTCTTCGTTTTGAACATGCATCGCCTCATGTCCTTCCCACCTTCCTTATCCCTCTCCTCCTCCTCCTTCTCCTCCGCCTCCACCTCCTCCTCCTCCTCCTCCTCCTCCTCCTCCTCCTCCTCCTCTTTCTCCTCTTTCTCATCGTTCTCCTCCTCCTCCTCCTCCTCTGGTTCGTAAACCTTCTCCACATCATGTCGGCACACCCCTCACACGTTTCGTGGGCTGTAGGGAGGCTCACCCAAGGCCCCAGCGGATGCGTTCGCACACTTTGCCCACACCGTTTCGGCGCACCCCTCACGCGCTTCGTGGCCTCATAGGGAGCTCCACCTGAGGCCCCAGCACCGTGACCCCATCGGAAGCTCCACCTAAGGCCCCAGTGGCTGCGTTCGCATGCTTCCTCCGCGCTCTCCCGGCACCCCCACGTGCACCTCCACCGAGGGGCCCGCCGCCTGTTGCCCCCTCCTCCTCCTCTCCTCCTCCTCCTCCTCCTCCTCCCCCTCCTCCTACTCCTCCCCTCCTCCTCCTCCTCTCCCTCCTTCCTCCCCCCCTCCTCCTCCTACTCCTCCCTCCTCCTCCTCCCTCCTCCCTCCTCCTCCTCCTCCCCCTCCTCCTCCTCCTCCTGCTGCCGCCGGCTGTGCCCACAGATGCGCAGATCACCCGCAAGGAGTTACATCCAGACGTATCCCGTTACGGCTGACCTCTGCGACCCAATGAGCAACGTCGTTCCGTCCTTCCCTCGCACGCCTTTAGCCCTTTTTGTTGGCTGGGCCCCTTCCCTTGGTTTCCACCTGTCCTGCGGTGCTCACACCTGCACATGGTTGGGTCCCTCGCCAAGATGTTGTTTCCCCACGGCTTATTCTTTGGGTGTCTTGGTTTCTCTGCACACCTCTCGCGCAGGAGAGTGAGAGAGAGAGACATAAAGAGAGTGCGAAAGAGCCAGAGAGAGAGAGAGAGAAGTCCATCATCACGATCACCATCCCACCATGACCATCCACCACCACCATCATCATCATCATCATCATCATCATCATCAGCATCATCATCATCAGCGTCACCATCGTCACCTACGATCACACACCGTCATCACCCTCATCACCATACCATCATGCCCATCCACCACCATCATCACTTTCACACGTTCGCCATCATCAACACGATCGCCACCTCTCATGGCCACCCATCACCCACCATCATCATCCTCACCACGATCCCATCATGACCATCCGCCATGATGACCTCGTCTGTGAGTGAATAGCGGGGAAGTCACCCTCTTTTTATTGGGCCCCCACCTCCATGTTGGAATCCGAGGGGGCCGTTCTATCATTTTACCATGCAAAACACTTAAGCACCCCAAGGGGGCAAACCGTAAGGATGTCTCAAGCGGGGGCCTCGTCTGTGAGTGGATGGCGGGGAAGTCTCAAGCTGGAGCCCCCTCCCTATGGGACCCCCACCTCCATGTTGGATTCCGAGGGTGTCATCGGAATATGTTACCAGGCATTGCATTTGAGCGCCCCAAGGGGGCAAGTCGTGAGGATGCCTTCAGCGGGGGCCTCATGTGTGAGTGGAGAGCGAAGAAGTCTCTTGCGGGAGCCCCCTCCCTAGGGGGTCTCCGCTCCCATGTTGGAGCCAGAGGGGGTCATCGGAGTATTCCACCAGGCGTAGCACTTGAGCGCCCCAAGGGGGCAATTCGTGAGGATGTCTCGAGAGGATGTCTCGAGCGCGGCCCCCTTCTTCAAGGGGGTAGCGAGGAAGTCCCAAGCGGGAGCCCCCTCCTCATGGCCATGTTGTAGTCTGAGGGGGTCATCGGAATACTCCTACCAGGCATAGCACTTGAGCACCGCAAGGGGGCAAATCGTGAGGATGTCTCAAGTGGGGGCCTCGTCTGTCAGTGGATATCGAGGACGTCTCGAGCGGGAGCACCCTCTCCGGGGGGATCCCGCTGCAATGTTGGAGCCCAAGGGAGTCATCGGAATACTTCGACCAGGCATCGCACTTAAGCGCCCCAAGGGGGCAACTCGTGAGGATGGCTCAAGCGGGGCCCCCGTCTGTAAGTGGATAGCGAGGAAGTCTCAGGCGGGAGCCCCCTTCCTATGGGGTCTCCGCCTTCATGTTGGAATCCAGATGTTCCGGAGTTTCCACCAGGCATTGCATTTGAGCACCCCAGGGGGGCACATCGCGAGGATGGGTCGCAAGTGGGTCGCGAGGGGGTCATCGGAATATGGTACGTAGCACTCCGCAATTGCGGATAAGAGTGAGGGGGCAGGCGCGGGCGACGCGGGCGTCGAGCGGGCGGACCTCGTGGCCCTCACCTTCCCTGTCGATGGCGCCCTCCTCCTCCTCCTCCGCCTCCTCCTCCTCCTCCTCCTCTTGCTCCTCCTCCTCCTTCTCTTCCTCGTCCGCGTCCTCGTCCTCATCGTCGTCGTCGACGTCGTCGTCGTCGTCGTAGTCCGCCTCCTGCTCCTCCACCTCCTCCTCCTCTTCCTCCTTTTCCTCCTCGTCCTCCTCCTCCTCCTCCTCCTCCTCCTCCTCCAGCAAACCAATGCGAGCAAGCCCGCCGCAGACGCCGATTTGCGTGTTCAGACAAGTTCAGCGCGGGGGTGGGAGATTGCTGGTGGGCCACCCGAAACAAATGCAAAAAACAGCCCGCCGCAGGCGCCGAACTTTTGGCTTGTTCAGTGAACGTAGTTTGGGTCGCGGGTGGGTCGCGGGCTCTCCACCTCCACCTGGAAGTAATTCAAAAACAGCCCGCCGCAGGCGCCGAACATTTAGACTTGTACACTGAACGCGGTTTGGGTCGCAGGTTCTCCACCTGGAAAGAATGCAAAAGAAACCTGGCGCATGCGCCGAATTTTGGGCTTGTTCAGTGAACGTACTTTGGGTCTCGGGTGGGTCGCGGGCTCTCCACCTCCACCTGGAAGGAATTCAAAAACAGCCCTCCGCAGGCGCCAAAAACATTGATTTGTATACTGAACGCGGTTTGGGCCGCGGGTGGGTCGCAGGTTCTCCACCTGGAACGCATGCAAAAGAAGCCCGCCGCAGGCGCCGAAAATTTCGGGTGGGTCGCGGGGTGGGTCGCGGGTGGGTCGCGGGTGGGTCGCGGTGGGTCGTGGGTGGGTCGCGTTTCGCGGTTTGGGTCGCGGGTGGGTCGCAGGTTCTCCACCTGGAACGAATGCAAAAGAAACCCGCCGCGGGCGCCGAAAATTTCGGGTGGGTCGCGGGGTCTGTCGCGGGTGGTTCGCGGGTGGGTCGCGGTGGGTCGCGGGTTGGTCGCGGGCGCGGTTTGGGTCGCGGGTGGGTCGCGGGTGGGTCGCGGGTGGGTCGCGGCTGGGTCGCGGCTGGGTCGCGGGTGGGTCACCGGTGGGGCGCGAGTGCGTCGCGGGTGGGTCTCGGGGTCGGTCGCGGGCGGGTCGCGGGGTGGGTCGCGGGCGGGTCGCGGGGTGGGTCGCGGGTGGGTCGCGGGGTGGGTCGCGGGTGGGTCGCGGGGTGGGTCGCGGGTGGGTCGCGGGTGGGTCGCGGGGCAGGTCGCGGGTGGGTCGCGGGGCAGGTCGCGGGTGGGACGACGACAACAACAAACAACAAACAACAAACAACAAACAACAAACAACAACAAACACCACACAACAAACAACAAACAACAACAAACAACAAACAACAGACAACAGACAACAAACAACAAACAACAAACAACGACAACAACAACAGCAGCAGCAGCAACAACAGCAGCAATAACAACAACAACAAGACCACCAACAACAACACACAACACACAACACACAACAAACAATACGCAGCAAACACACAACAACAACAACACCACCAACAACAACAACCAACGACAACAACAACAACATCATCAACAACAACAGTATCACCAACAACAACAAGAGCAACAACAACAACATCACTCACAACAACACCACTCACATCAACCACAACAACCACAACAACACCAACAACAATATTAACAACAACATCAACAACAACAACAACAACAATAACAATAACAACAACAGCAACAACAACAGCAACAGCAACAGCAACAGCAACAGCATCAGCAACAACAATAATCCGCATCGCGGAATTCCACTTCAGCCACGCACCCAGGGACAGTGAATGACCGTTCGGTTCAGCCCCCTCACTCTGACCAGGTATAGCACTTGAGCACCCCAATAGGGAGCATCGCGTGGATGTCTCAAACGGGGGCCTCGTCTGTGAGTGGCCCTCCCTGAGGGCTTCGGTGGAGAAGGAGGAGGAGGAGGAGGAGGAGGAGGAGGAGGAGGAGGGAGAGGAGGAGGAGGACGAGGAGGAGGAGGAGGAGGAGGAGGAGGAGGAGGAGGGGAAAGACGAGATAGAGGAGAAAGAGGAGAAAGAGGAGAAAGAGGAGAAATGGGAGGAGGAGGAGGAGGAGGAGGAGGAGGAGGAGGAGGAGACATTTTCGGAGGAGGAGGAGCAGGATTTCGAGGAGGAGGAGGAGGCAAAGTAGAGGGCGAGAGCAGTGCCTATGCCAATGCCAGAGAGAGGAGGCAAGGTTGAGGGGCAAGCCAAACAGACTCTCATGCGGGGTCCTGCCGTTGGAGTAATTGGGTTTGGGCTGGCGTCGCTTATCACGCAACCAATGTGCCAAACCTACGTGGACACCGTGCTGCACGGCTGCCTGGAGTGGGGCGGCGCGGCTCTTGCCCGGGAGTGGGCAGCGACGACCTTTGGCTGGTCGGCCTATTTCCTCAACGATGCGCCCCTGAGCCGAAGGCCGTGGCTGCACCGGCCCCGGCACACGGAGATCGACGAGGTGCTGCTGCAGAACGAGAGTTGGACGAGGTTTTCCGAGCGGAGGCACCCCGAGGACTTCGCGGTGCATTGGACCGCTGGCATACGGGGCATGTGGGGCGTGCCTCCCCGGAACCCCGGCTTCGTGGGGCGCGCAAGGGAGCTGGAGCAGATTGGCTGGGCTCTGAGCAGTGCCGACGCCTCCGGCACCGTCTCTGCCGGGGTGACCACCATCGAGACGGTGGGCCTCGGCGGCGTTGGGAAGACCCAGCTCGCGGCGGAGTACTGCCACAGACGCTACCAGGCGCAGGACGGGCGGTGTGCCTACGGCCTGGTGGTGTGGCTCGCGGCGGAGTCGTCCGACTCCATCGCGGCGGGGCTGCGGGACCTTGCGGCCGACTGCGGCATCGCCGTCAAGGACATGCACAACGAGCAGGTCGTGGAGGAGGTTCGCTCGCGCCTCTTCAGGTCGGGCTGCCGGTGGCTCCTGGTGTTCGACAACCTCGAGGACAGAGGGGTGCTGGACCTGTACGTGCCCCGCGGGGGCTTCGTGGCGGGGCACGTCCTCGTCACCACGAGGGTCGTCGTGCCTGGGGTGCCGCAAGACAGGCGGATAGCGGTGGATTGCTTCAGCCCCGAGGAGTCTCTAAATTTCCTCAGTGGCTCCGTCGGGGCCCACGCGTTGGAATCGGTAGCCGACCCTGGCGGGGGAACAGCGAGCGCGGGCGCCGTGCTGGCAGAGGCCTTGGGGCACTTGCCGCTGGCGATGGCGATGGCCGCCGCGTACATGGTCCACTGCGACGCCACGTGCTCGGAGTACTGCACGGCTCTGCGCAACTCGGCCCGGTTCCTCAGCAGCGACTCGCACAAGTTGTCGAGCTACCCGATGGGCGTCACGGAGAGCTTGTCGCTGTCCTTGCGGCGCATGAGCCAGTGCGGCGAGCAGTCCACCGACGGCGAGGTCGGCCCACGCGAGGTCTTGGACTGCGTGTGCTTCCTTGCCCCAGATGGAGTGACGAAGCAGCTCGTCTCCCTGCTCGCGCACGAGCTCAGAGCTCGGCGGAGGGAGCCCGCCGGCCAGGGCCCCTGGTGGCTCTGCACCGCGCCGTGGCCAGCCCACGCGGGTGGCGTGGTAGCTTTCGCGGTCGCGGGCGCCTCCCTTGCAGCGGCGCTGGCGGCCATCATCTGGCGCCGACGCACGGCCCGCGGGCGCCTCGCCGTGGCCATTGTCGCCTGCATGGCCGCCGCACGTTGTGCGGTGCAGCAAGGCCAGGCAGCTCTGGACGGCCCCCTGGCACGTGCGCCGAGCACGGACTCGCTGAGGCGGCAGCCGTCTTGGCTGTCCGACGTCTCGCTGGAGGCAGACAGGATCTGGACACTGCTGAAGCAGTACTCGCTGCTGGCGGTGCGGGACAGGACGGGCTCGATGCACCGGCTTCTGCAGCAGCTGCTGCGGGACCTCCAGGGCGAGGAGCAGTCCGCCAGGTCCCTCACGTGCTGCGTGGCCGCCCTGAGGTCGCTCTGGGCGTTCGACCCAGCGGACACGACGACCTGGGCGGAGGCCGGGAAGCTGGTGGAGCACGCGAAGGCCGTCGGCCGGCACACGGACTTGCTCCTTGGGGGGGGAGGGGGCAGGCGGCGCATCTCTCCCGTGTTGCTCCACGCCTTGCGTGGCGCGGCGGATCTGCTGACTGACGTCGCGCTCTACATGTCCATGGCCTTGAGCCGCTTCGACGAGGCGAACGCCGAGCTCGAGATCGCCACCCGCTTTCACAAGTCCTCAGGGCAGCCAAGGGACCACAGCCTAGAAAGTAACCGCCCTTCCCCCCTTCCTCTCCTCACCCACCTCCCGGTGGGAGAAACTCGCTGCACGCAGATGGTTTCGCTGCCCTCAGGTTCCACCTGCCCGGAGGGCTCACGGCCGTGAGCGCGGACCTGGCCCGGACGCTGCACACCCGCGGCCAGGTGGCCCGGTACCGGGGCAAGCTGCGGGAGGCTTCTGCGAACCTGGACGCGGCGCTGGAGATGCGGCGCAGCCTCAGCAGGCAGGCGGAGCCCCACCTGTGGGACGTGGCCTCCACCCTGCACGAGACGGGCATCCTGCGACTGAGGCAGCAGCTGCCCGAGGCCGCCGAGGCCCTCCTGCGGGAGTCCCTCGGCATGAAGAGGTCGCTGCGGGCCCGCTCCGTCCCGCCGCCGCTGGCGCGGCAGCACCGCTTCTCTGACGAGGCGGCCACTCTGCACCAGTTGGCGGTGGCAGCCATGTCCGCGAAGCCCAGCCGGCTGGACGAGGCCGAGGGCCTGCTCCTCGAGGCGCTCGCGGCGGAGGCCTCCGACAACCCGTTCGGGCGGGGCGCGCGGGCCGCCAGCCTGCAGCAGCTGGCGCGGGTGCAGATGCGCCGTGGGCGCCTGGTCGCGGCGCGGGGCAACCTGCAGGAGGCGCTGGCGCTGCACCAGGAGGCGTACGGCAAGGACACGCCGCACGTGAACCTGGTCGCGGTCCGGACGCAGCTCGGCAAGGTGGCCTGCGAGCTCGCCCTCAAGACCGGGGGCTCGGAGGCGGCGCCGCTGCTGGAGGAGTCGACTGGCCACCTGCTGGAGGCGCTGTGCGCGCAGCGCCGCATCTACTGTGGCGGGCGGGCGGGGCCTGGTGAGCCAGACGCGAATCCATCTGCGAGCGCCTCCCTGGAGAGCGATCGACCAGAGATCGCCGCGACTCTGGGCCAGCTTGGTGTCGTGCAGCGCGGGCGGAAGTGCCTGAGCAGTGCCCAGTGGTATTTCTCCGCGCAGCGCGAGATGTTGTCGCGACTCGTTGGCGCGGGCTGCGGCCAGGGGCCGCTGCGGCCAAGCATCGACGGGGCGCCGGGCGGCCCCGCCTCGGAGCAGCTACTGCGGCAGCTGCTGGCCGCGATGCAGTGGGAGAAGACCACGTCCCGAGAGCTGGGCGAGGTCGACCGCTCCAAGCGCCTGACGGAGGACATGAAGGCGGTGTCCCGAGCGCTCAGGGCCGCGGGCGCCGCAGGCGGGCGGGCCGAGCCGGAGCCCACCGACGGCGGCCTGCAGGAGGGCGCGCTCTGCAGAGCCTGCGTCGGCTGCCGCGAGGCGGTGCGCGAGGCCCTGCTCGAAGCGCGGAAGACGGGGAGGGGTCTCCCAGAGGGCTTCTGCGCCGCCCAGGCGGCGGGCCTGGCCGCCGCGGCGCGGCGGAGCGAGGCCGAGGATCCGAGGCGGGGATTGATCCTTCGGATGCAACGCTTGGCTTTGACCTGGTCCGAAAACCGGGTAAATCCAGCCTATGCCTGCTTAGGCCAGCTGGATCCCGTTTAGCCTGGTCCAATCCAGCTTAATTCGAGGCCCACTCCCCCTCAACAGCCCCCCCGTGGAGCTTAATCCTCCTCAATCCTTCCGACGAAGACCTCCCAATAGTTACCGCCTACTTCGCCCGGCGGATCAAATTCTGGGGACCTCGGCAGACGGCCTGAGGCCGATCTTCCGCCCGCCAGAGTCGCCAAGGCAGTCTGGTGTGTATGTATATATCTTTATATATAGATACATGTATGTATGTATGCATGTGTGTATGCATGTATGTATGTATAGACTTACGTGTGTGTATATGTGCATGTATGCAGATATACATATGTATATATATATATATATGTTGATATATGTATGTGTAAAGATGTGTCTATGGACGTATATACATATATATATGTACGCATGTAATGTACGTATGTGTGTACGTATGTATGTATGTATGCATGCACGCATATATGCATATATGTATGTTTGTATGTATTGATGTATGTATGTGTATAGTGATGTGTGCGTGTTTGTAGTTGTGTATGTATGTATGTCAGTACTTATGTACGCATACAGTAGTTAAGTGCGTGCATGCGTATATATACACACATATATATAGGTATACGTATGCTTGTATGTCTGAATGCATGCATGGATGTATGTGTGTAAGTATGTATGCATGAAGGTATATGGTTATAGGCATGTGCGTACATGCCTGTATGCATGCTTTTATGCAGGCATGCATACAAGCATGCGTACATGCATGCATGCATGCATGTATGTCGGCGGTGCGCCGTGGCACGAACCCCCCCCCAGCACTACCGGGGGGGTTCGTGCACTACCGGGGGGTTTCGTGCAGCCCGCACCGGGTGCCGCCAGCGGCTTAGAACACCCCCCCCTTGCCGCTTTACCGGGGGGGTTCGTGCAGGCCGCACTGCGTCTACCTGGGCTCCCCCCCCCCCCCTGTGGGAGTGGGGGGGTGGGAGTGGGGGGTGGGTTGGGGGGGGGGCAGGGGGGCGGTTGGGAAGGGTGGCTCCCTGTCGAAGTGTGGCGTGTGCTCGCCTTGTGTTCTCTATTCGCGTCTGCTCGCCTTTGTTCCGCCGCAGCCTCTCGTATTGTGGCTCGTGGCCACAATACGGTTTCGTGCAGCCTACCAGAGGAGGTCGTGTTTACCGGGGGGGTTCGTGCAGGCTCGCACCGGGAATGGCGCCAGCTCGAAACCCCCCAGGAGAGATTACCGGGGGGGGGGGTTCGCTCCGCACCGGGCACCGCCGACATGTATGCATGTATGTATGCATGCATGTATGATTTTATGTGAGTCTGCATGCCTGCAGGTAGGCATGTAGGCAGGATGTATGTTCGCACGCAGGTATGCATGCATGTATGTATGTGTGTTGGTATAGTTATATGTATGTTTGTATGCATACATGCATGTACGGGTGCGTATGTATGTGTGCAGTCATGTTTGTTTGCTTGCTTGTTTGCTTGGTTGTTTGTGTGCTTGTATGTATGCATGCATGTATGTAGGTGTGTATGTATGGGTGCATGTATGTGTGTATGTGTATGCGTGTGTGTATGTATAGATTCGCGCATGCACGCATGGCTTTGGAGAGAGACAGAGAGAGAGAGAGAGAGAGACAGAGAGAGAGAGAGAGAGGGAGAGAGAGAGAGAGACAGACAGAGATCCCTGGGCACTAGGCGGGGGGGCGCGGGAGTGGGCCCCCGACAGCGCATGGCGGGACTGGGCCGGCAGGGACGCCCCCCAGACGGCCTAAGACAGCCCCAAAACATGTGAAAAAGGAGCTCTGGAGGCCTCTCAGACGGCCCAGAGTCGCCGAAATATTGTTCTCACACGCCCAAGATGGCCTCCACACGGCCCGAAAGGCTTCCAACACGGCTCGAAGGGTCTTTAAGAGCAGTCCCCAAAGGGCCCCAAGAGGCAAACATATGGATGCCCCTAGAAGGTTTTCCATGGATTTTCGCGTTTCTGCCTCTTCGGCTTCCCGACGCTCCAAGGTTGGTTTCGGAGATTCCAAATATCGCTTCAACACAGCCTCAGAGGCTCCAACGAGAGCGCCGAGACGGCCCAAGAGGCCCCCCAAAGAACGCCTCAAGAGGGACCCCAGAGGGGGAGCAGGAACCGACATTTCGGGCTCTCCGCCCCCTGAGGCCCCCAAGAGGCCCCAAGCGGCTCCCAAGAGGCCTTCAAGAGGCCCCCAAGAGGCCCCAACCCAAGGAAGCCCCAGGAGGCCCCAAGAGGCCCCCAAGAGGCCTCCAAAAGCCCCTCCCAGCCGCACGGAGACACTCCTGCCGATCCTCGACGCCGTTCCATTACCGAGTGCCACTGAACGGGCTCACAACGTCCCTGGGTGCGTGGGTGAAGTGGGATTCTGTGGCCAAGATTCTGCGCGTTGTTGATTTCTGATTCCGGATGAATGATTACTGTGGATGCCCCCCCCCAGTGCTCATTGTATTTCTCACTTGAGGTGCCCCTCCTGGGGTTCGCACCCAGCTTTTTACAAGGGAAAGTCTTGGGTCTCCAAACTGGGCCCCTGGCGGGTACGATCGAAGACGAAAAGGGCGGGTATCGAGGGCTCATAATATACGTGTTGAATGACACGCGAGCAGACTAGAGCGAGCAGTCGTATCATGATTGCTGTTGTCATCGTCGTCGCCCGCGACCCACCCCGCGACCCACCGCGCGACCAACCCTGCGACCCACCCCGCTCACCGTCCCGCGACGCACCCGCAACCCACCCGTGACCCACCCCGCGCCCGCCCCCGCAGTCTTGTCCGCAATTGCGGCGTGCTGCGCGTATGAATCAGCCCCTGCCTCACAGAGGAGGGCGACGGCGCGCAGGGCGGCGCCGCCCTGCTGAGGGCGGCCGCCGCCGAGTTCTGCAGCGCGCTGCTCTCGCAGGGCGACGACAAGTTCCAGGCGTGCGACGACATGCGCTCCGCGCTGCGGCAGCTCGGCGTCCGAGGCGCGACCTGACCGGCGGCGCCGAGGCGACCCCCAGACGTGCTCGCGTCGAACAACAAATCACGACGGGAGAGTTGTGGTGTCTTTTCGGCCTCTGGGAACCCTCGCTGGGCCCCGAGGCCGTCAAAAGCTTCTCGCGATGAAGGATCGGCCCTGGCAGAACGGTCGGGACCTCTGAGGGCCCCGTATTTCGAGTAGGGGATCGGCTGCAGAATTCATTTATCCCATCCTCGTCGAAACTAGGAGACAAACACGTATAATGGTCAGTCCACCTGCGGAGCTGTGCAGGCATGTGCCGTAGATCCGACGGGACATCCACTTGGGGGCACGTCGGCTCTGCAGTCGATCCCTCGAGTGTTGAATAACGCCGCCGAGACATCGCCTGTCGGGGGCTCATCAGCAGCAGGCGCCGCGGAGGCCGGCGGGCCACGGCGAGTCGAGCGCGACAGGGGGGGCCGCGGTGGGCGGCCACGACGACCTCGCGCGGCTCCGCCCAGAGACCCTCGCGCAGGGCTCGGCGGCGCTCTGAAGAGCGACCCTTCGCCGGAGTGGGCCCCGGTGCGGGCCCACAGGAGGAGGAGGAGGAGGAGGAGAAGGAGGAGGAAGAGGAGGAGGAAGAGGAGGAGGAGGAGGAGGAGGGAGGGGCGGTAGAGAGGAGCAGGAGAGAGCAGGAGGAGCAGGAGAGCAGGGAGCAGGAGGAGGAGAGCCCGAGGAGGAGGAGGAGGAGGATGAGGAGGAGGAGGAGGAGGGAGGAGGAGGAGGAGGAGGAGGAGGGAGGAGGAGGAGGAGGAGGAGTTGGAATCCACTGCCCCTCTGTTATGAGGCCGTTGTATAGGAGAGGGAACAGAGGACACAGTGTTTACACAGTTTTAAGGAATTAGTGAATTCAGCATGGGTCGGGCTTGAAGTGCCTCGAAGAAAGCACGCGCACCCGAATCGCAGACATATGGCTATATGCGGACCCGGGACACTTTGCTTCCCGTCGTCGTCCTCGCCCTTGCTCCGTTCCCCTTCCTTTCTTCCCTCCCCTGGATGGTGTCGAAAGCGTCCGCGGCTCGGGCGGGGGAGCGCCCCTTCCCACCTCCCTTATTTTTCCTCGTTCCTCTTTGCCTCCTTGCTCCACCGTCCGTCGTCCTACCTCGTCCACCCTCCTTGTTCGAAAAGTGAAGTCCCTGGTGCCGCGTGCCCGCGTCAGCGGTAAATGCTTTTCCGGTATCCGCGCACAGCGGCGCAACCAAACAGAGGGGATTGCCAATGCGAGAGTTCGGGGCGCACCCAAAATTCGGGCGGCACGGCCGCCGAGCACAGTCGCATCGCTAACATGTAAATTATAGGCGCCTGCGGCAAGGTCCGCCCCCCTGCCAGAGCAGTGGTCTATATGGCGACGCGTGGAGCTTTGACTGTTAAGAGGTCCATGACATGTGACATCTCTCGTGTTTTCGGACTGCCGCGCGGCATTCTTTGGGGTCCTTCGAGGCCTTTTGGGGCGTCTTCGGGCCGTTGGGGGCCGCTTTGGCGCCGCGTTACACCGCGGCCGCCCTGGGCCAGGGAAGCGTGTATTTGCGGTTCTCTCCGGGGCGCCCTGGGCCGGGGAAGTGTGTATTTGCAGTCCCCCCCCAGCTGGGCATGTCAACCTCGGTTCTGGGCTGGCAAAGTCGGGGCGCCCTCAAGGTGGCGCGCGTTTACCTTTTCGAAATACACAGATCAAGGTGTGATCTGTGTACACAGTTTGTGTCTTCAACTGTGTATTTTCGTGTGTGGGCCGACTGTTTACACAGATCGTGGTGTGATCTGTGTAGACAGATCTCGTTCCCATCTGTGTATTTGGAGTGTGTCCCTCGCGGGTGGTGTTGAATGGGCGGGAACTTTCGCGTTTCTCTTCCGGCTGGTCCAGGGGGGCGTCGTGCGCGGTCGAAATACATAGTTCGTGTCTCCAACTGTGCATTTGTTGCGCTCCGTTCGCTGGAGTGGTCTCTGGGCGGGAGTTTCCGCGGGTCTCCCGGCTGGTCCAGGAGGGGGCCGTGGTCTGGGCATGCAAAGGCGCGGGGGGGGTGGAGATGGTGGGCCGTGGGAAGGAAGGGGTTCGATAGGAGGGGTGGCCGAGGGGCCAAGGATGAACGGGACTGGACGAGAGCGGAAGAAATGAGCCCAGGAGGATGTGGATCATCGGTGTCAGCATCGCGAGGGCGAAGGAGGTGGGGGAGGCAGAAGTTGGGGGCATGATGTGCACTAGGGCGTAGAGGATGGGAGGAGGGCAGGCATGTGGACGATGGGGGAACGAATCCGGCGCAGGAAGACGACGAGGAACGACGTGAATTGGCACATGGGGGGTGAGCAATGTGGATGAAGGGCACGATGAGGACCGGGGCGTTCGGAGGGGCATGAGGAGGGTGGGGCCACAGCGAAAGGATATTTGGAAGAGGCGGGGGGTGGGGCATGAGTTCGAGGCGGGCGCCAGCTAACGAGTAGCTGAACAGTGTTTTGCGTGTCCGTGCGCCCCCAGAACACAGTGACTTGTTGCAGAACTTCTTGATATGGGTAATCGTGCGCTTCGTGCTTCAAGGCCAAAGGTTCGAGTCCGCGACGCCCCATGGCGTCGCGATGATGCCGCCCCGATTTGCCAGACCGCAGATGCACAGATACGCAGAATATGTGTTGCAACGTTTGTGTCATGACCCTCTCTATACTAACAGACCCACGTTGGAATCCAATGGGAGGAGGGGGAGGGGGAGGAGGAGGGGAGGGGAAGAGGAGGAGGAGGAGGAGTAGGAGGAGAGGAGGAGGAGGAGGAGGAGGGCTCCCCCTCGTCCCCCCCCCCACTGGCCTGCACGCTTGGAGCTGGCGCTCGAGCAGCCCCCCGTAAGCTGCGCACCGAAGGCTCCTCCTCCTCCTCCTCCTCCTCCTCCTCTCCTCCTCCTCCTCCTTCCCCTCCCCCTCCCCCTCCCCCTCCCCGTCCCCGTCCCCCTCCCCCTCCCCTCCTCCTGCACCCGCGGCCCGCAGCGTCGCTCTGGCGTGTGCCCGAAGGGTCACCCTGGAGCACTCCCCGCGCCGCCCTGGAGCAGCCGCCGCCCCGAGCGCCCGGCGCCTGCGCGGGCTCCGCGGGCCGGGCGCGCGGCGAGCCGCGGAGAGCGCCGGCTCGCCGCGGCCGCAGGCCATCGGAGGGCATCTCGGGCCCTCGGATGGCTCTCTCGGGGGGCCTCCCGAAGGGCCTCTCGGAGGCCCTCGGAGGCCCCCCTGGAAGGTCGCGCTGCGCAGGCAAGCGACCTCGAAGACCAGCGCAGAGGGAAGAGGGGGAGGAGCACAGGACGAGGGCGATGAGGATGGAGGCGGGATGCGTGTCCACTTTTTGTCTCATGATTCCCATTTCCTTTCAACATCGTCCTGCCCTCAAGCGTGCTGCCTTCGTCCCTGCCTGTGCTGCTCCTGTGCCGTCTCGGTTCCATCCTGTCCCGCCCCGCTTTCCAATCTTTCCCCGCTGCTGCTCCTCCTCCTCCTCCTCCTCCTCCTCCTCTCCTCCTCCTCCTCCTCCTCCTCCTCCTCCTCGCCGTCCTGGCCCTCCCCTCCCCTCCGATCTGTATCCTCCCCCCCGCTCTCGCCTCCTTCCCCTTCACGCCCCCTCCTCTCCCCTTGGTCAGGAACCTTTGCTTAGCGTATCGCGCCGCCGGTTCTGGCGCATCATTCTTCGGCGCAGCACGCTAATCGTCCACGCGCAGAGGGGGGCAGGGGGAGGGGGAAAGGCTTCTGAGAAGCACCCTGCTCCTTGGAAGGCGCGGGCCTCGTCTATAAATGTAGGGCCAGCCGGCGCCTTCCAAGAAGCAGCATCCCAAGAAGCCTTCCCCCCCCCCTTCTGCTCGCAGCCAAGCTAAGCACGGCCCGGCCCACGCTCCGAGCTTTTCCCAGCCTCTCGCCCCGAGCAGCGGGGCGACGAGCGAAATTTCTACCAGCCTGGCACGGCGCAGAGGGGCCGCCGCCGCGGCGCGGTGTGCGCAGGCAGTTGCTGAGCTCGTGCTCCCCTCCCTCCCGCCTTGTCATCCCACCAGGGAGGAGGGAGGAGGAGGAGGAGGAGGAGGAGGAGGAGGAGGAGGAGGAGGAGGAGGAGGAGGAGGAGGAGGAGGAGGAGGAGGAGGAGGAGGAGAGGAGGAGGGAGGAGGAGGAGGAGGAGGAGGAGGAGGAGGAGAGAGGAGGAGGAGGAGGAGGAGGAGGAGGAGGAGGAGGAGGATGAGGATGGAGGAGGAGGAGGAGGAGGAGGAGGAGGAGGAGAAGGAGGAGGAGGAGGGAGGAGAGGAGGAGGGGGCGGGGGAGGGGGAGGGGGAGAGGGGGAGGGGGAGGGGGAGGGAGGGAGGGAGGGAGGGGAGGGAGGAGGGAGCGGAGGAGGGAAGGAGGGAGGAGGGAGGGAGGGAGGGAGGAGGGAGGGAGGGCGGAGGTGAGGGAGGAGGGAGGGAGGGAGGGAGGGAGGAGAGGGGGGGAGGGGGGGGGGAGTAAAAGGGAGGAGGGAGGAGGGAGGAGGGAGGAGGGAGGAGGGAGGGGAGGGCGGGGGGAGCTCACCCCAGCCCCAAAGCGCAGGCGATGCTTCTCTCCCAGCCCCGGACCTGTCGACGACAGGCGAGGCCGCACAGAAGAGGAGGGAAACTCGTCGATGCACCCCTTCCCCTATCGAGGATGGACGCCCCCGCTTTCGCATACCCCAGGCTTGGGCCCTAAGTTCCTGGCTCATGTGACAACCCACGAAGGCTGGGCTAGGGGTCGACATCTTTTCCTCTGCCACCCCCCCCTCCCCCCCCCCTTACTCCCCGTTCCCCTAGCAGGGCTTCGCTGGAGCGTCCTGTTCATCTCAGGAGAGGACCACCCATCGAGACCCCCCACGGGGGGACGGGGAGCCCGAGACCGCCCCGCTCAGGCGGCGGTGCGGCGGCGCGCTCCCGCCCCGAGATATCTCTGCCCTATGGCGCCGCGCTCTTGCCGGCTGCGCTCTCGGCCCAGACGGCCACGATCTTTGCAACAGGAGGAGGAGGGGGAGGAGGAGGCGGAGGCGGAGAAGGAGGAGAAGGAGGAGGAGGAGGAGGAGGAGGAGGAGGGGGAGGAGGAGGAGGAGGAGGAGGAGGAGGAGTTGGAGGAGGAGGAGGAGGAGGAGGAGGAGGAGGAGGAGGAGGACATTCACTGCGTGTGCACATCGCCGTGCTCTCTCACGCCTGTCCAGGCACGTCTTCACTACATAGCCGACCTCCTCCTCCTCCTC